GTGGTGCACCCGCGCGTTTGGCAGCTGGGATCACGTTACGTGGGAGTGCCCAGGCGGCTGGTTCCAGCGCCGTCCACAGCAGCGACCCCATGATGGTTTACAGCGTCGGCTCCTGTGGCCGACGGTGCTGCCAGGAAGGAAACAAGTCGACAAGCAACTCGTGGAGTGGGCTGTCTTCGTAGACCGGGTCATCAAGGACCAGAGGTACGACGACGACGGGCGCCCACCCAGGGTGGCCCGGCCTCGCGGCTGAGCGCGGAAGGCGGCCTTCCTGGCCGCACAGAAGCCAGTGTCACCTCGAAGGCCCGCGCTGCGACATCAACAGCAGGGGTGTCCACTGATTGCACAGCCTGCGTGCGAACTTCTGTGTCAACCGCTCTGCGGGCTCAATGCGGCGGAAGCCCCACGGGCCCTCGCCGTGTTCAGCTTCGAGAGAAGATAATGAGATGGAGGTGAAAACCATGCTGAGAAGTATGCCTAAAGGCATGCTAAGAGCGGCCTCGTGCATTCCGCCGACCTCGAGGCGGCCTCAAGATGGTAGATGTGATACATTATCCTGGGCACGTAACAATACCAGTGAAACGTGTTCCCAACGCTGGGCCCACGCGCGTGACAGCTCCTGGGGCACGTACAACACAAGTGAGATGCGCCCTCAGGGCTGCGAAAGCCTCGTTTCGGAGCGCCTCTCACGCATGTCCTCTCTGACATTGTTCTATAGGACGCGTAAACATACAAACAATCAACTGGTCCATGGCGACGACACTGCCATGTCGGCCCACCACTCACGCAGCTTCTGCCTCACACACTCCTGGGACACGTGAAACTACAAATGATCTGCGCTCCGAGGGCAACGAGGGGCTCAATTCTACACACCCCTCACGCATGTCCTGCTCCACATTCTATTGGGACGCGTGAAAATACAAGTGATCTGCGCTCTCAGGCCCCTGGGACCGGTGACAAAAGAACTATTGGTTTGGGCCTCGAGGCTCCTGGGAGACGTAGAAATGTACATGATTTGCCCTTCCAGTTTGATGGGAACCTCAATTCGGCGCACCCCTCACGCACTTCGTGAATGTTGGTGGGCGCTTAGCTGGCCCAGGAGACGGCTCCTTGGAGCTTCAATTCGGCACGCAGAATGCCCTCATAATGCCCCCAGCTGGCCTCCAAGAGGCGCAAAGACGCCCCCACGAAACATTGAAGTATAAGATCGGTAACAACCACTGAATGAAAGATATGTGTGCGAACTTCCCGCTAGGGGCCCACCGTGACTCCCGCTCGGCGGGCTCAATAATGGAGGAATTCAGGGAGGAAGGGAGGAGAGAGTAAAAGAAATATACATATATATATAGAGAGAGAGAGAGAGAGACACAAAAAAAGAAAGAGGGAGCATGGGTCCATCCCCTGCAAACTGGGTGTGTATAAACGGGGTGGTAGCTAAGGGTGCATTCTCAACTGTGCCTTCGGGAAACTGATTTGCCGCGCACAAGTGCGAGGTAATCCCCCCGCCCAAAGTTATGATGATGTATCGACGATTTCGTCGTCCCGATTTAGCACGCACTAGTGCAAAGTAAATTCCCTGTCACCCTGTACTCGCTCGAAGATGCCCCTTAGCTACCACCCCGTTTACTGACACCCTGCTTGAGGGAGGAACGAACGAGAAGTGAGGGACAAGGGAAAGCGGAGGCGGATGCAAGAGGAGGAGATGATGAGGAGAGGGTCGGGAGCGGAAGGAAGGAAGAAACGAGGGGTGCACGAGAGCAGGAGATGACAGCAGGAGGAAGAGACAGCTCGAGAATATTGACCAGGCGAGGAACAACTATTTGATCTCATGGCTTTCCAACTGCACGGAACCAGGGGGAAAAGGCCTGGCCCTGGACCACTCCTGCATTTCTGGCACGCCGTGACTGCCTCATTGTCAGCCTCCGACTCCTCCCGCTCCGCCTCCCCTGCCCAATCCCTCTTCCGCTCCCTTCTCCTCATCAAATTCGTTCTCCTGCCCCTCCCCGTGAAATTACTGAATCCGTTTTTGGCATGTAACATTGTTCTCCTGTAGCTGGGGTTCTGGGCTCACCCCGCAATATTTGTTCGGCGAGGCTGACTCTTGACCTCCGGATCGAAGAAAAGACCCATCTTAGGGTTGCACTGCCGGCGCACATCATGCGCGGACAAATGGTACGAATCACGGCGCTAATAGAGCGCCTTCACTACTCTCAACATGTATAAATGGCGCGCTGGGCAGCCTGCCCGACGCGCCCCTAGTTGGCTTGGCCTCGCCGCTCCCAAGCAGCCTTGGCCCTGCGACGGCAAAGGGGTCCTGAGGAAAGGGGCCCCAGACCCTGGAGCTTCTTCCTGGAAACAACATGTGATCCTGAATTATTGTTCAGTTGACCTGGAGCCTAGGGTAGGCCTGTGGAGCCCAGCCCAGAAACGACGAGAAACATCCAGGACCCGTTTTCCTCAGCGCCCCTTCATGGCGCTTATACACACCCTCCTCTCGGGGACGCCGAAGTGGGGGGCCAGGGGGGGCGAGGAGGCGCGTCATGGTACGAGACCCGTACCCTGACGAGGAAGAGCAGGGGGCATATTATCCTGGCGAAGGACCCAACCAGAAGCAATTGTTCGTAACGCGTTGTGGGTGCCGCTTTCGGTGGGGCTCCCTATGGGGCCACGAAACGCTGCCCTGGGTGGGGGAACTGGGCGGGGGAACCGCACGCGACCTGCGCCACTGGGGCCTTCGGTGGAGCATGGAACCGCATGCGAGCCACTGGGGCCTTCGGTGGAGCTCCCTATGGGGCCACGAAACGCTGCCCTGGGTTGGGGAACCGCATGCGAGAGCAGCCACTGGGGCCTTCGGTGGAGCTCCCTATGGGGCCACGAAACGCTGCCCTGGGTGGGGGAACCAGAGGGGCGTCTTTCCCAAACCAAACGGGTCTTCCCAAACCAAACTTAGGCTTGGGTGACGTAGGCTTTGGTTTGGGAAGACCCGGTGTAGTTTGGGAAGACCCGGTTCGTTTGGGAAGACCCGGATGTTGGTTTGGGAAGACCCGGTTGGTTTGGGAACACCCGGTTGGTTTGGGAAGACCTGGTTGGTTTGGGAAAACTCGGGCGCGTGGTTTGGGAAGACCCGGTTGGTTTGGGAAGACCCGGTTCGTTTGGGAAGACCCGGGGGGGTGGTTCGGGAAGACCCAGTTGGTGTGGGACGACCCAGAGGTTGGTTTGGGAAGACCCGGTTGCCCTGGGCTTCCGATCCTCGTTCTTTTCGAGGATCCACAATCGTGATCGTGGATCCACGATCGTGATCGTGGATCTTGAAATCCCCGATCGTAGATCGTGGATCCACGATCGTGATCGAGGATCCACGATCGTGATCGCGGATCCTGATATCCCCGATCGTAGATCGTGGATCCACGATCGTGATCGGGGATCCACGATCGCGATCGAGGATCCACGATCGTGGTCGATGTCCCACGATCGTGAATCCTCGACAAAGAACGTGGATCGGACCCCCAGGGCATGTACATATACATCGCACACGTGCACGTGGATCCACGCACGTACATGTATGGATGTACATATACAAACCTTATCTGGTGTATTAATGTACATCCATACGCGTACGTGCTTGGATCCACGCGCACGTGTGTGATGTATATGTACGTATATGCATAGGCATGTGTGTGTGCGCGCAACTCCTCACAGAACACGCACATCACACATACACGGGCATACGTTGCAAGCGTTTGGCTAAACAACACATGGGTGACGGAGCGTGCGTGCGTATTCAAGGTGAATGCAAGATCGTCCTTACAGGTGTCTGATCCCCCCACCCCAAAAAACCTCGGAGGCTCGGGGGGGGGGCGGGATCAATCAAATGTAATGGCGATCCTGTATTATGCGTGAATACGCACGCACGCTCCGTCACCGATGTGTTGTTCACCCCAAAACTTGCACGATATGTCCGTGTATGCGTGATGTGTGTCTGTGTGTGTTATGTGAGGAGTTGCGCGCGAGCGCGTTGCGCGCGCGCATTGTGAATTTTATGTTCGGCGTGGAATATGCGCGGGGTCTACAGGTACGTTGTTTTGAGCGCTGTGTTTATGCTACGCGGGTAATGCGACTACTCACGATTACAACCGCAGAACTTGATAAACGAACGGGGAAAAGAAGCATATGATAATTGCAATACACAAGTTTACGAAGCTCGATCGATACCGTAAAAGGTGTTATTCGGAAACCAACTGCAAAATCGGAAAATGAAGGCTTGGAAGCCTGAAGATTTGAAGGTTCAATTTTTTAGATATGAACGCTATCGCGACATGTTTTCGCAATCTAAAAACAAGCGTTTGATGACAATTGCGTCTAAATCAAAAACGCAAGCAGAAGACAAACATAATAATGAACTGATAACGCAACAAACCACAAACCCAGCCTTTTGGGTTGTGCGCTGAGGGGCCCCACCTTGCCTTCCCCCTGGGCCCCGCCTTGGGTGCCTGCCTTGGGTGCCCAGTTGGACCTCTGGGCTCCCGCCCCGAAAGGCGATCTCCCCTTGAGCCTCTTGTGGGTTCCCTGCGTCGTCGTCATCGTTATTGTCATCCGCCGTCGACGCTTAAAGCATCCACCGTCGTCGCATTGGGGCCCCGCCTTGGCTTCCCCTTGGGCGCCTGCCCTGGGTGCCCAGTTGGACCTCTGGGCCCCCGCCCCGAAAGGCGACCTCCCTTGGGGCCTCTCCTTGGGCCCCCCTTTCATCGTCGTCATCGTCGTTTTCTCAACATCGCCGCCGTCGCCGCCGTAGCCATTTGGGCACAGTGGCAATGATGTTGGCGAGTCCACTATTCATTCATTTTTCTTTCCATATCCTACATGTGGCTTCCAGGCATCCTGCTGCGTGGGCGCCACCGGAGGAAGCGAACCAGACAGCGGATGACATTCTGGTGGAATCCCTCGAACCTGACTTCGGAGATATATTGTTCCGCGGTGGGTTCAAGTACAGCAGCACAGACATGAAAATCGGTGTCGACGTGGACGCCCTGGTAACCTTCTCTGGAACGCTGAAACGCTTGATGCAGGTAGACCCGAGAGGAGGGTACTTCCTTCAGTCCGACGTGGAGCTCGCCATCAAGAGGTGCGCCATTAAGGAGGCCCACTCCACGATGTGGGATGGGTGGTGCAAACTCAACGAGTACACCCATGAGGAGGGGTACAAGAATAGCGCATACGTGGTCAGGGTCATGCTGTCCCACGTTCGCAACAAGGCCGACGACTTCAACAAGCTGGGGGCGAGCGGGCAGGCGAAGGCTCGCGAGTCGTCTCACCCACAGGAGCTACGTGACATTTACAACGTCATCGACGTTGACAAGGGGGCGGCTTCAGTGAGAAAGACTCGCCCGCACCCGCTGCCAGCTTTCAGGGCAGCGCAGGACGCCTCGAGCGAGGAGGAAGTCGTCCCTGTCTTGAAACGGTTCGACGTCAGCACTGGGGAGTCCTACTTGGCAATGTCAGACGGGTCCCGCGAGATGGCCAAGTTCAAGTGCGGAGAGCAGGGGCGACTGGTCGCCGCGTGGCCTGAGTACAACATGGAGTTGCAACTTGAACTACCAAATTCTGCTTTGAAAGATGATGGGGCGATCGACTACACGCAAGCAGACCCGCGCAAGCCGCCCAAGGCCGGCCACAAGACCAAAAAAGGAAAGCCCGCGAGTGCTCGGAAGAGGCCAGCTGGCGCAGTGGAAAACAGATAACCGCCCACCGCTCCAAAGGCGAAGGCAAAGACAACTCCAAAGGCGAAGGCAAAGACAACTCCAACGCCGACGGCAGCTCCGACACCATCACGCATTCAAGAGAAGATCAGGCAGAACATCGACCGCATCTCCGAGGAGGCCAGGAGGGGATTGCAAGGGTTCCCTGGCAGAGACAGCAACGAACTTGCGACGTGCTACGCTGTCGCGGTTGATGGCGGCACCATCTCTCTTCGTGATCTCCACCGCTCTCCTTGCTTCTACGTGGACCGCGTGACCGAGATCCCCGAGAATTTCCCTGGGCTCGGTGACGACGCCGTCGTCGCCATGTTCGAAGGCAAGAAGTTGAACAAGAAAGGCGGGGTGCAGTTTGGTTTCGGCGACGACGCGGACTTGGCCTTCAAGGCGGCGGAACTTCTAAGGTCGATGTATCCGAACCCCGCAGCCTAGACCCCAGCGCGCACCTGGGTGCCACCCCGTGCAAAAAAGAGCTGACAACATCATCATCGCCAGCATTACCACCAGCAACCTATTACCTTCGGGGGGGGGGCTACGTTCGAAAATCCAAACCAGAACTTTTGGCAACAGTTCTGGTTTGGATTTTGCTTCGGAAAAATATGCACACCCCCTCCTTGCCTTCCCCCTGGGCCTCGCCTTGGGCGCCCGCCTTTGGTGCCCAGTTGGGCCTCTGGGCTCCCGCCCCGAAAGGCGATCTCCCCTTGGGCCTCTCGTGGGTTCCCTGCGTCGTCGTCATCGTTATCGTCATCCGCCATCGTCGACGCTTAAAGCATCCACCATCGTCACACTGGGGCCCAGCCTTGGCTTCCCCTTGGGTGCCCGCCTTGGGTGCCCAGTTGGACCTTTGGGCTCCCGCCCCGAAAGGCGACCTCTTGTTGGGCCTCTCCTTTTGGGTTGCCTGCGTCGTCGTCATCGTTATCATCATCCGCCATGGTCAACGATTAAAGCATCCACCATCGTCACATTGGGTTGGACCTCTGGGCCCCCGCCCCGAAATGCGACCTCCTGGGGGGCCAAGGGGGGGCCCAGGGGAACCAAGGGGACCAAGGAGACCAAGGGGGACCGAGGAGTGGTACCAAAGGGGGCCAAGGGGTACCAAGAGGCACCCTTGGCCATCCTCGGGCACCCGTCGCCATCAATATTACGCGTAGCCGTCTTGGCTCAAACGATGGCTTGCGCGATCTGTTTGGAGATTGTATCGGAGCAGGGGTTCACGCTACCGTGCTCTCACGCGTTTCACGTTCACTGCATCGCTGAGTGCATTGAGGGCGATGGCTCCATCATATGCCCTGTCTGTCGGGCTGTGCATCTGAGCATTCGGGAGAACGTCGACGCGTCGGTGGCAGCAGCGACTGGCCCATCTCCGTGGGACGAGAGGCCAGCGATCGACAACGCGGCCGCAGACATCATGAACTACATGCCGCCCGTGCCAGCTCACGTCGTGATGCTGCATTGCCCGCGCGTCATCATGGCCAACGGTGAGTTCAGGAACACGTCAGACAGGAGGATGGAGTGGAGTCCTGCTCGGGTTCGCGGCTCCGAGTTTCGAGGGCAGTGGTTGTGCCTGCAGTGCGGCTTCATCGTTACCGACACGGACGTCAACAACATTGCAGTTGAGCGCTTGCCCATCTGCCCCATGCATGGCCATCGAGTATACGCGCTCGACCACTTGGAGAACACGTCCTTCTACAGCTGCGCTTCCGCCGCTCACGACGACCAAGCCGACCCTGCCGCGTTCGAGTGCCCATTCGACTATGCCACTCAGCACCCGTTCGTCTTGCAGCCAGCCCCCGCGCCGATAGAGGTGATACAGCAAGACCCCGTGCCGATAGAGGTGACCGATGAGGAAGAAGATGCCACGTCGCAGGACAGCCTCATTACGGTGCCAGACCCTGGAGAAGAAGATGAAGATGTCGCTCGGCTTCGTAGTATCATGGAAGGCCCCTGGGAGCCCGACAGCCCAGCCTCGAGCATTTTCGAGGATAGCGTGGCACGGCTAGTAGAGATATTTAGCAGCTCTTGAGTCTGGGGCACAGCCCTGGGGATTGCATGCTAAGCTTGAGTCGCGCCGTCGCAGTTGAAAACAGACCCCGTCATCATCTTAGCGCTAACATGTTTCAAAAGCGATTGAAACATGTTGGGTTGTGACAAAAACTGAGCCCGTCATCGTCGAACTGCATCGTTTGAGCTCCAACGAGGGGGAGATTGGTAAAGGTGTCGCTGATCCCTGAAACCACCAGAGATCTGGGACTAGCGAAACTGGGCTAACAAAAAACTAAACTGATCATCCAGGACAATACCCATCAGCAACAACCAAAGAGACCCACGGGGCAGGGAGGGCGGGGCTCCAAAATCCAAACCGGCACCGATCAGACCCACCAGGCTGGACAGATGCGCACCCGCGCGCCCACCGAGGATTCCCATATCTAACACATATCTGTCAGGGGGGAGTGTTAGATATAGATCCCTGTAACTGTCGCAAATTTTATATCCGGCAGCATATCTAACAGGGGGTGGGTGTTAGATATGGGGGCTGCTTAGGGGGCTGATGGGGCACAGATGGGGCCTCCAGGGATCGGTCACTTGGCCCTTGCGGCCGCGGTGACCTCTTGCGCTCCTCCCCCTTCCCTCTAGAGCAACTTTGGCCCAAGCTGACCACGGTTCCGAACCTCGGCCAAGTCACTTCTGCAACATGCCGCCGAAGCGCCCCGCTGACCAGCTCCCGAAGCCGATGATGGAAGCCGCCGATGCGCTCAAGGCCCAGGGGCTGGAGGTGACTGGCGAGAACCTGGCTTCGCTCCCTCACGCGCTTCGCGTGAAGGCTTTCAGCTCACTGAACACCGCCCTCAATACCAGGTTCCAGGATAAGGCGGTGCTGTTCAAGAACTTACAGGACGATAACGACAAGAGGGAGTACCTGGCCAGCTTCATGATCGACCCGAAGAGCGGCGGCACCATGACCAACAAATCCAGCCGCGAGGTGATCGAGAAGACGACCAAGAAGGTCCTCTGGGTCACGTTGGAGCAGTACGGGGGGCCGCTCTTCTTGAACAGCATGGAGCACGCGAAAATCGCATTGGAGGGCGAGCCTAGTCGACCCCACGAGAACAAGAAGCTGGCGGATACTGGAGCGCAACAGTTCAGGGTGGAGGTCACAGAGGAGGTCTTCGAGAAGGTCCTCGAGGAGAGTGCGGAGCTCGCAAAACAAGTTGAGCTTTCCGCTGAGGAGTTCGAGCCCGTGGCGAACGTGCTGAAAGATAAGGACTTGTCTGGGCCCTCGTCGGCTGATGGCTCCACCAAGCCACCGATGAAGAGACGGCGTCAGAGCAGACGCGCCACGCCAGCCGCGACCGAACCCGACCCGCCCGCTGGGCCCGATCTAGCGACCAAGGCTTCGCAGGAGAGCTTGGCGAAGGAGCTGAGTGAGTTGAAGAAGTTCTACGACAAGTCGAAGAAGGAGCTGGGCGAGGCGAAGCTCATCGAGCAGAAGCTGGCCTCGAAAGCTTGGGGCGGCGCAGCGACCGACTACCTGAAGGAGGCCGTGGACAAGATGAGGACTGAAATGGGTCAGGCGTTCAACTTCTGGGCGGAGACGAAGGGTAAGACGCACGCCAACAACCAGGAGAGGGACGCAGACTCCGCGTCGGCCAAAGCCATGCTCACCGAGAAGAAGAGGGAATACGACACGTTCAAGACTAACACGTTGAGCGAGTTCCTCAAGTTCAAGAAGTAAGCAGCGTCGCAGTTGCCAGCGACAGAGTGTGCACACTACACTACTCACCAAACAGGGAGCCTCGGCAAGCTTCGGGGCAGCTAGCCCGCCGTCCGCTGACAAAAAAAAGAAGGTTGCATCACCCAACCGCGCCATTACTGCTACATCAGAGCTGACAACATCATCATCACCATCATTACCACCAGCAACCTACTACCTTCGGGGGGGCTACGTTCGAAAATCCAAACCAGAACTTTTGGCAACAGTTCTGGTTTGGATTTTGCTTCGGGAAAACATATTTACACCCCCTCCTTGCCTTCCCCCTGGGCCTCGCCTTGGGCGCCCGCCTTTGGTGCCCAGTTGGACCTCTGGGCTCCCGCCCCGGAAGGCGATCTCCCCTTGGGCCGCTCGTGGGTTCCCTGCGTCGTCGCCATCGTTATCGTCATCCGCCATCGTCGACGCTTCAAGCATCCACCATCGTCACACTGGGGCCCAGCCTTGGCTTCCCCTTGGGTGCCCGCCTTGGGTGCCCAGTTGGACCGTTGGGCTCCCGCCCCGAAAGGCGACCTCTTGTTGGGCCTCTCCTTTTGGGTTGCCTGCGTCGTCGTCATCGCTATCATCATCCGCCATGGTCAACGATTAAAGCATCCACCATCGTCACATTGGGTTGGACCTCTGGGCCCCCGCCCCGAAATGCGACCTCCTGGGGGGCCGGGGGGGGGCCCAGGGGAACCAAGGGGACCAAGGGGGCCAAGGGGGGCCGAGGAGTGGCACCAAAGGGGGCCAAGGGGTACCAAGGGGCACCCAGGGGGGACCATGGGGACCAAGGGGAACCGAAGGTGGGAGCATCGTGATCGCCCTTATCATCCGAAGCCGTTGTGGCCCAATCCACTCCGACAGACTGGCAATGATGATGTGTCGTTTGCTATTCCTGCCTGTGTTTCTCGCAATGGGGATTCGGCAACAGCTTGGCCTGACGAGCAAGTCAACAAAAGTGATTGGCCGCTCGAAATTTGCGAAGGCTGTGAAACCTACCGTCGGCGCCGATCTGTCTGAGTGGTTGCGTTCAAAATGCAAGCGAGGCCAATTGTCAGCTAAAGATGTGAGAGTGGCGGCTTCAAAAGAGAAGGATGGGGATGTTCACATGTCACGCTGTGGTTCGTCTGGTAAGCACGAGAGAAACATTTCCAGATATTTAATTCGTTGCCTTTCGAAGAGATCTGAAAGGCCACCCGTTTACGTTGCCAAGTGTGTGTTTTGGGACCCTCTCAATGCGGAGTCATTCGAAGATGACGTATTTTTCCAGTTGCCGCACGAAATAATGGAATACGAGATTGACAAACATGGCGTCGATCATTTTACGCACATCGAAGATGACCACCCCGTTTTTCGGATTCGTGAAGAGTGGTGTCAGCGAGTTGACTTACATCCAGATGCGGCCAGTTCTGTTGTTCCAATTTCTGTGTGGGGCGATTCTGCTGGGCTCTTGACGCGCGACAGCATCTATCTTATGTTGTGGGGCCCAATCGGCGGGGCTGACCGCGCCCGACACTGGTTCGCATCGCGGGGAAAGCGAGTGTGTTGCGGTTGTGGGTGCCACGGACGGCACACATTCGATTCCTTTGTTCGGGTTCTGGTGTGGGCGATGGAGGTCTCCCTGACAGGCAAGTGGCCATCGACGAGGCATGACGGAGTCCGCTTTGCAGACTCCAAGCTGCCAGGCCGCGGGGACATGTACCTTGCATCCCGCTCCCCCTCGCCCTCCCCCTCCTCCTCCTCGCCCCCGCGTGTAGGCCTAATCTCAGGTGAGGTCGCAGTATCGGCAACTGCTTTGCAGCATTCCCCCTCCGCTGGGGGGAGGGGGGAATGCTTGACAGATCCTAAGATGCATCGACCTCTGACGGCTCTTGCCTTGCCTTACCTTGCCTCATCTTCATGCCACTCCCCGTCGCCCTCCCCTCCCTTTTTTCCCCACAACACACATCTCGTTCTCAAAAAAAAATCCCCCAACATGGGCGGGCGAGGGGGCGGGGGGGAGTAAGGTGCAAGTCCCTGAGCAGCTCCAGGTGACAGATGGCGGGCCGCAAGAGCTCGCAAAGGAGATTCGCTTCGGGCGCGCATGGGCGTGTGCCAAAAAAAGGTGATTGGCCATGGATGCAACAATTTCTCGGCGTATCTGGGTGGGGCGGGGAAGGCGACGATAAAATTGTGCGTTGGAAATGCAAAGCTGGCTATAACACGGAATTCCCCTACACAGATGCGCCCCTCGCGGCCACATGGCGGACGACTTCTGTTTCCGACCTCTCGTTTCGACTTGGAATGCTATCTGGCCTTCGATATGCGAGCCCCTTCTGGAGCATGCCAGGCTTTATATTGGACTACGTGACTATAGATTTAATGCACGCAGGGGACCTCGGGTGTTTGCAATATTTTCTCGCCAGCGCATTGCTCGAGATTGTTGATCGCGTGGGCGGTGTTGTCTCGCGCCCGCGTGGGACATTAGGCCACTTAACGCTCTTGATGTCGATTTGTTCTAAGAGCCTTGGTTTGGAGAGCCCGCCATGGAATTGGATCGCAATGAATATGATCAAGACAAGTGGGAAAAACCCGAAAATGAAGTTGAAGGCGTCTGAAACCCGCAGGCTGCTAAAATGCACGCGGCTCCTCATTGAGCGGCTCTTCCCCCCCCCCCCCGAGATGCCCGCGAACAGCTGGTTTTCGATTGTGTGGGTGCTGTTCATCATATATGCGTTGAACTGCACCGATGGGACCGCTATGCTTCGCCGCCGAAGTGTGCAAGATGGGCGCGTGTGTCTGTCACGCTTTACGGTGAACTTAACAAATGGGCAGTGGCAGGGAATTTAAATGGATCTTTCACGCGGTATAAATTTTACCCGAAGTTCCACCAATTTGTTGAATTGTTCGAAAGAGAGGTGCCAAAGTATGGGTCGGCAGCTGATTTTTGGTGCTGCGCCGACGAATCGGCGATAGGTGATGCAATTCATGTGGCCGAGCGCTGTCACGCAAAGTACTTGCACAGGTCAATCATATGCAGGCACCGCCTATGAGAAAAACAATAGCTTACCGACGCGTAGCGTAGTCATGGCTTTTGGTCATCACGTGGTCGCGGCAAAAAATGAAGGGAATCCTGAGTCTCTATCCTCTATAATCCGCTTGGCTCCGCCGTGGCCTTCCGCCCCGTCGTTCCCCCTGGCGCTCACTGTTTGGGATCCACGCGTTTGTTCCCCTTAACTGTGGGCGCCCCTTTAGGTAGCTTCCTTTTGGCACTAGGTGAACATTATGTATATGTATATGTTTATGTGTAAATATGTATGCATATATGTATGTGTATGTGTTTGTATGTCTATGTAAATGATTATGTGCGGATACGCATGCATATCACGCACGTGCATACACGCACGTACGCGTATGAACGTATATATATATGAATATATATATATATATATATATATATACCATATACCACAGTTATATGCTTTAAGATATACATAGGTATGTATATATATGTATATATTATTTTATATTATATATGCACACGTATGTGCGTATACTTCACGATCGTGGGTGCTCGACCACGATCGTGGATCCTCGATCACGATCGTGGATCTTTGACCACGATCGTGGATCCCCGATCTACGATCGGGGATATCAGGATCCGCGATCACGATCGTGGATCCTCGATCACGATCGTGGATCCACGATCTACGATCGGGGATTTCAAGATCCACGATCACGATCGTGGATCCGCGATCATGATCGTGGATCCACGATAAAGAACGTTTATCGGAAGCCCAGGGTAGTTTGGGAAGACCCGGGCTTGGTTTGGGAAGAACCGTTTGGTTTGGGAAGACCCGGTTGGTTCCGGACGACCCGGAAGTTGGTTTGGGAAGACCTGGTTGGTTTGGGAAGACCCGTTTGGTTTGGGAAGACCCGGGGAGATGGTTTGGGAAGACCCGGAGGTTGGTTCGGGAAGACCCGGATGTTGGTTTGGGAAGACCCGGTTGGTTTGGGAAAACCCGTTTGGTTTGGGAAGAACCGGGGAGTTGGTGTGGGAAGGCCCGGTTGGTTTGGGAAGACCCGGACGCTGTTGTTTGGGAAGACCCGGTTTGTTAGGGAAGGCCTGTGTGAGGTTTGGGAAGGCCCGGGGCTGCGGTTTGGGAAGACGCGGTTGGTTTGGGAAGACCTGGCCGTTCGGTTTGGGAAGACCCTGATGGTTTGGGAACACCCGAGTTTGGTTTGGGAAGACCCGTGCCTCGTGGTTCGGGAAGGCCCAGTCGGTTTGGGAAGGCCCGCTTTGTTTGGGAAGACCTGGCCGTTGTGGTTTGGGAAGGCCCGTTTGGTTGGGATGACCTGGTTGGGCAGGAAAGACCCGGGGTCGTGGTTCGAAATGACCTGGGGGTGTGGGACTACGTCGGCACTTGGTTCGGGCAGACCCGCTTGGGCAGGGAAGAGGAGGGGGAGGAGGCGGAGGAGGAGGAAATGCAGGAGGATGGAGAGGAGGACGAGGAAGAAGAAGGAGGATGGAGAGGAGGAGGAGGAGGAGGACGAGGAGGATGGAGAGGAGGAGGAGGAGGAGGACGAGGAGGAGAAGGAGGACGAGGAAAAGGAGGAGGAGGAAAAGGAAGAAGGAGGAGAGGAGAAGGGGGAGGAGGACGAGGAGGAGGCCGCTACGCCGACCCCATCTAGGAGCCCTGGAGCCCTGGAGCCTGGACCTCGGGAAGCGACGGATGGGGATGCACTGCAGTCGGTCCCGCCAGGGGCCCGGAAATGTCCACAATCGCCCCTCCCCCTGGGGGTTTGGGAAGCGCGGTCAGGAACGGAACGCTTGCCTGGCGAGCGCCTCTGAACATGACGGGTTTGACTATGATTGAGTGCGAGTGTGTGTGGCTGTCTGCGCACGATGAATTTGCGCAAGAGTGAGTCTGAGTGTGAGCGGGTCTGAGCGTGAGTCCATCCGCGAGTCGGTCTGAGTACGAGCGGGTCCAATGTGAGGGTCAATG